TGACATCGGGTGAGATTTAACAAACACGAAAGTATTTGTAGGGTATTTCGATGCCTAATAATATGCTGTACACATTTAATGATAGTCAATTTTGATCAAGTAAGGGAGGGTATCTCAACTCTATGTTCCTCTCATTCTTATACAAAATCTGCATTTGCCATTGAGCTGTAACAAATTTCATTTGATTTTTGTGATAGACAATTATTCCAGGTTTCTCGCACATTATGCGAGATTATGCAGTGAACGAAAAATTGTCTATTTAGAGAGAAATGACAGTTGCACATTCAAAAAAAGATGACATTTTTGCTAAATTGTTGACTTGATAAAAATATAAAGGATTCAAATGTGACATACAGTTTTCCATTATGGGAGATGTTCCAACCACATTTGTGATATTTTGGAACACGTTTATTCAGCTAATTAAACTCAGTTGTAGTTGCTGCCACATGTACAATTTTATCGTCTTGTTCTTGCAGTAAAACACAATCATCTTTTTGTGTACAGATTTGATTACAGTGTACGTAGCTTACCGGTAGTAGTGAAAAATTTAGTGAAACATTCATATAGATATAAACTAAAGGGGCGGTGATTGTCGCGCAGCTTGTATTCGTATTTCATGTAAACAAATAATGTATTTTGCGTGCCTTGAGTCCCATATCAAACAGAAGGCGATGCGGCGTGACAACCACCACTGTCCTTTGAAACTTTACCTTATTAATTTCCTCATTAAATCTCCTTTATCTTAAAATTATGAATTGAACATCTTTAACCCAACATTAACTGATTCATCAGTAGATTTGGTAACCCATAACAAAGTTGCTACAAGTTTGCTATTGGATTTAAATAGAAAAAAAAGTTAGCTAGTACTTAGTATACATGACTATATTTTGTTTAGGTAGAATACTAAAATTGACTATGATTGTGAAAGGGTCAAACTATTTATTATTTAGCACTAACAGTGACTGTAGTTTTACATGTTGAGTCATCATTTATTGTTGAGTGTATACTAGACTTTATAATGGTGTATATGCATGTACCGCGGTATGTATTTTATAATCTCACCCCCCCTGCCCATTACAGGTACAGGACACACCCCTTCAGATCTAGAATGCACTTTTCTTTTCTGCCATTGATTGTAGTTGATTTACCTTTTGATTGATTGTTTTTCTCCCTCTGATCAGAGATGTTGCAGGGTAGCACCAAATGTGAGTATAACTTTGTTAATTTCACCCGATCCTCCCCTCATTGTGACTGTATTACAGCCATCATTGCGTTGGATTGAAATAAGTGCATTTGTGCTACATTAAATGTGTCTTGACACTGTGAAGCTAAAAATAATTTGATATGCAGAGTATAATTAATATTAGATAACAGACTAATTAACAGGGATGAATTGACGAACGACCCATTATGCATTGCTCCAATAACATTTTCTGCTACAGTAATTATGACAGCAGGATTACACATTTTTTACTTGGTGATTTACCATGTAAAATAAATCATTTAGGATAATGTATGAAACACAAATTTGTCAAATGTATCCCTGTAATTCGTGGCATCAAAAAAATCACCCAGATTTCTTATAAAATGTTGTAACCACAAACTCTGGATATTATGGCTTTGATGGTCCTTATGAATCAAAAATATTTTTGCTGGTAAGAGATGTACATTATAATGACTCGTTTGTTACAGCCTATGGTATCAGACAAAGGGCCAGGTCAAACTCGATGGAAAAGAAGAGAGGAAGTGGATTGTTTTTTAATAAGCCATTGAAATGGGGATCAGCAGAGAGCTTGAGATCCATTACTCCGCCAGAATCGCCAACTTTCAGAAGAAATACCGACAGTAAAGATGTAAGTCCCTTTCATTATCTCTCTACATGTACATTTCTGAGTTTTCATGCACACTTTTATTTGAAGTTCATTTAATTGCAAATGAGCACCAAGATCCCCTCAGAGCGAGAGCCACACTGCTTTTTTTTAGCTCCGCTGTTGACTTTGTCGAGCGGAGCTTATCATATGAGTGATTGTCCGTCGTCGTCGTCCGTGTCAATGTTTTACTTTTTCCACTTCTTCTTGAAAACTACAAGCCTAAATGCTTTGATACTTGGTGTATATGTACCTTGGGTAGACCTCTCTTAGATTTGTTCATTTCATGATCATATCTTCAATTCTCTAATTTTGGTGAATATTTTTGTCATTTTTGGTAAAAAGTGATATTTTCAACTTCTTGTTAAAAACCGCAAGTCCGATTGCTTTGATATTACATATATAAGTACTACATGTGGACCTCTCTCAGATTTGTTTATTTTGTGATGATATCTTTAATTCTCTAATTTTGGTGAATATTAATTTTCGGTAAAAAGTGATATTTTCGACTTTTTTTCCATAACACATCATGATCACTAAGACACATCAACAAATATGTCTACTGTTTCAAACTGTAGCCTTTTCAGTGTAACCAACCTTTGCCCCAGTTACTTGCAGTTGTTTTGTTCTGTGTCTGCGACCGATGATTGATAATATCATTCCTAGCACATATAATAGTGATAAATGCATGTTTTTTTTCTGTAGTCAATGCCTCCGCCAAAGTTTGTACCATCAAAGAAGGGGAAAAAGAAAAGGAAGGAATCAATGAAAGAAAACG